TCAAGCACCATCGGCGCACAAGGTCCTCGCCCCCGAGGTACTCGTCATATAGGATCATACATTCAGTATATTTTACAACCCACACGTGGCCTCGGTCTGATATGTACCTCGGTCGGCATACCTCCCTCGGTACCCGAGATGAGCCTTTCCTCGGTGCCGAGAGGTACCCCATCCTGGACGCTTCCTCTACTCCAGGATAGGCTATTGACGTACAGGTCATTAGCCTAGGCTAGACTAGGCTATTCATCATGATCTCGTCTTACACAAGAAATGTCAGAACGTACTGGAATGCAGAGGTCACAACCAATAGGGGATGGACGCGTGGCATATGATATCACATCAAAGACAGACAAATCGCATGCCGTTGCTGACACGCGACTTGGGAAAGCAAACAATTAATTGCACCATTCCCTTGATGAGACCGCATTCAATGCGGTAAGGCTCGGAAATGAAAGGCAATAAATGCTCCTATTACAGAGCATTTATTGCATCCTCCCCGAGAGGAGCACATTGTACCGTCGGCATCCCGACGATCCAGCATTGATTGCTCGGGACCCCGAGCAGTTAATTAGAGAAGACATTCTTCATCAGAATCAATGCACACGCTACCTGAGCCTAATGATCACCTACTGACGACACTGACAGCAATCATGAGCTTTTAAGGTATAAATACTCCTTGTAAAAGGCAAAGCGGGTATGCAACAACAAACTTTCTATTACAATACACACTCAGTGTTTTCTCTATCCTCTCTCTCTCTCTCAAAGACTGAGTAGATCGTCGGAGGGGATACGCCGGAAAACACTCCGGCACCCTTCTAACTTGTTCTTCTTTGTTCCAGGAACCTCTTCCAGCCTTACAGGATCGCTCTTCCTTTCCCAGAGTCTCCCGTTGCCGTTCCAGGTTACCACCGTATCTTGCAGGTTGTCCCAAGCAGCGTGTTTGGTCACTCCACCGGCTCACCCGAGTTCACCAAGGGAGAGATCTGTTCTCGTTTTTTATATTGTGCAAGATCTTGCACGCACATATTACTTCTCGACTTGGAGTTAAAACTCATCTGCCATATTGAAAACTCACCACATCGAGTGTTAGGTGCAAGAACACATAGAAATAACTGTAGATCTTTGAACATCCTAGGAGGACATGTGCATGATGGTCATTTTCCCTTGTATGTGTGTGTGTGTGTGTGTGAGAGAGAGAGAGAGAGAGAGAGAGAGAGAGAGAGATAAAAGAAGAAGAAGTAGAAGAATGATTCAAAGGAATCAAACCATGCACCTTCCATACAAAGCCAAAGCCATCGCAACAAGAAGCACCACCCACCAAAACAAATCGCATGTGTGTGTTTGTATGTATGTGAGAGAAATGAGTGTGTGTTTGCGTGTATTAGGGTTGGTGGGGAAGTATGGTTGGGGTTGACTCCATGATTTCCACCTCCAAAACAAACTCTGCGAGGGACTGGACTGCTTGTAAAATCTTCAACTATATGAATTACAGTATATATTAATTATGCCTTACTTGATAAGTAGTGTTGTGTAATTTTACAGTAAGTATTATTCCATGCAAATGCCATGCATGGAATCAATCCCTCACATCACATAGCTAATTAAAACAACTCACACCTGAGATGGAGGATATAACAGTGTATCCACAACTGCATCCAACATTATTGTAGTAGTTTTCTTGATGTTATTTGAAACATCAACCTTCATCGGCACCTGTTTCAACGCGTTCCACAAAGGCTGTCCAATATTTTCTCCAATAAGTCAGTTTAACTCATCATTAATTATTGTTTTTCTACATGTAAATTGACAGTAAATTTTGTTCATATTCACTAAGAATAGCTCTCTAACAAGTTGAAAATTTCCGGTGTTTAAAGAGACAATGATGTACGTATTTTTAGTCGTGTGTATTTTCAGACGTGTTCTGAATTTTATGGTATATTTTTAATAGTCGGTGCAATAAGGATGTATAAGCAATGTTATAGTGACTTAATTCAATATTAGGTAGAGCACACTTCCAATCAAACGATCGTAATTGATTAGGTCTGAAAAACATTTTCATTACGGTTATTTATCTTCTACAGAGATGCACCTTTATGGTGGAGGACAGTGAAGTTTTGAGGTGATCAAGGTTAGGAGAGATGGAAGGATTGTGGAGAGGCCCATTTACTTGTAAAACAAACGAAGAGACTGCCATCTTCTATTCTTCTTCTTTCCTCTTTGCCCTATTTGTTGTGTGTGCTTGCACATTCATGCAATGGTCATATAAATAGAGAGCCATGCTAGTTTTTTTTTTAATATGTAGAAATAAACCAGCTAGCTTACATGTCTATCTTGAGGAAAGTGGAGTCTATCCAAGTGGGCGAAAAACAATTTACTACTTGTCCCTATTTTGAAATTTAATATTGGGGTGATTGTGACCAAGTATACCTTTATATTTTTAAATATTAATTACAACAATACCCTATAGTTGATCATAAATCCGAATCAAGACAAAAACCAATGAGCAGCTCAAAGAACAATACTGCGTTTGGAATATTCCAGAGTCGGATGTGTCCTCCCCTAGTTACGTTGTCATTACAAGAAACATATACTATACTACTCGGTTATTCAATTGTCCAACAATAGTGGCATGGTTGAGGGTCGTAATATATGAGTAAGATGGTGAGAAATTCAATTCATTTCTAAACGTTGCAGTTGATGATGATGACTGCAATAACTCGGCTTAGTCAACCGAGGTTATGAGTCGATCATGAGTCAAGTAATATTCAGCGTTTCGAAAAAATGTGAAATAGTATTGGAGAGAAAAGTGAAGACTCAACAGTCGTGGCTGTTGTATCAATGACTAGTAGGTAAAAGGAGGCCAGATGGAGGACAAGTAGCTATGGAAGTTTATTTCAAACTTGCAGGGTGTGTGCTGAAAACAAACACGTACCCAACAAGATCACACTATCCATAGCTAGGCGAGGCAATGTTACGTTGATAAATGAAAACAAATAATAAGAATTAAAACCTTGCAAAATAACCGAATTAATGATGATAAGGCCTACGATTTCAAGTAAATATTGGATGTAACAGTTACATTACATAACGTTTCAGGGAAATACTTAATCAGACAACTCTAAATGAAGCAACAAACACATGAGAAAACGGGTGATTGAATAATGAATTTAGATTGAAAGCACAAAATGTACTATATGAAATTCCAACCGTGGTTGAAACCTCTGGTTTAGAGGTTTCAATCAAAGTTGTATTGGCACATGATTATATGTGTTTTCACTATGTTTTTCCTTTAATTTTCGATATAGTATCGATTCATTTAAGTAAAAATAGGTGTTGTGTTTGTAATGACAAATGACTCGTGAATCATGTGACGAACCTTCTTCTTTTTTTTAATCTTTTTAAAAATTTTAAATTATTTTTGGGTGGCCTTTCAATGCTTCAAGGCAAGTTTGTGGTTGTTCAGATAAGCAGAAGCCTATAGGAAGATTATAGGATAGACACACACACACACACAGATATATTTATATGACTGGTTCATTTTTGTAACGAAAGAAAGAGTTCAAACAAAAAAGAGAGTTGTTGGAGTGGGAGCTCTGCCACAACTTGAAGGCAGGGGTGGGCCAAGGTAAAGTGGGCGTTAGGCGAAATTTTTATAGGGGAGGTCTTATTAATATTTTGTTCATTAATATATAATTTTTTGTTTATTTAAAAATATTTTTTTATTTTTTAAAATACAAAATATTAATCAAGTTTTTAAGTTCAAGATTTGACAACAAATCTTTCTCAATCAATAATATAGTTAATTCATTTAATCTTTAGTTGAACGTAAATAAGATTTTATCAATTTAAATTTCGAACAAGCAATTTAATAAAAAAATGCGAGCAAAGAATAATTTTAATAAAACAAATAATCATTCTTTATCCACAAGTTATGTGCATGCATGAAATATAAAACTTTGATAACATAGGCAATTTAAAGCATAAATTATTTAGATTGAAAATTTATGTTAATAAAAAATAAACTAATTTTATAAATTTTCACTGCAATAAATAAGGTATATAATTTTTTTGTGAGTGAGAGAAATACTACTATAAACACATCCAAAAGAGCTAAAAACACTTAAATAAAAGCTCACAAAAAGTAAATAACTTTAGACCTAACAAAATTAGATATTGAATTGACCTATTAAAATTTGAATTATATCTAAAATACAAAAAAAAAAAAAGTCATATTAGGCATGCACCTTAGCTGCATAGGGCTTGGGCCTGACCCTGCTTGAAGGGCCAATCCATGAGGTATAAGTATTGGGGCGGGTCCACTGTTGTGAATTATTAAACAAAAGAGATGTTGTTAACAAAAATGACGTCCTTCTTGTACAAAATGGTTGTTTTGTGAAATAGCAGAGTATCTGGAGCCATGAGTATGATAACCCTTGAGCCTTGAGAAACAAGAAATGGAAAGACAAAGGAACAAAATTCAGGGTGTACATCCCATGCTTGAGTATCATTAAATATATGAACTACACTTTCATGAAACATGAGTTGCAAATGAACCGACCCAGCTGACTGTTCTGGTTCAGCTGTTCATCCCTCGAGAGTATTTGGAATCAACTCGAGATCGTGACGAGTTTGAAATATCTTGTTTGGTAAAAACTTGGGTTCAAATCATTTATGTATATATTATATACAAAATATATAGTATGCACAAAATATATCTTAAATTTTATATTATTATGTATATGTCCATGAGCCTAACAAGTCATTGTCGGGTTTAGCCTAACAATAAAATATATTCTCATTGTTTTGTTTTGTAAGGCAAAATGAAAACAATGGAAACAAGTTATCTCCAAATTAATAGGGTCCCCCTTCGAGTTTCATTGGAGACAAAAAAATTATTTTTGCTTCTTATGTCGTCTATTGTGAGTCTGTGACTTACCATACACCCAACTCCCAAATCCCTAACCCTAATCGCCATTTCCACCCGTGAATCGCCACCGAAGCCACTGGGGTACCACCTCCATTGCTCTGAAAACCCCAAACCCAGTGAAGCCCCATCCCCAAATCCAGCGAAGCCCTATCCTCAATCCGTCGAATCAGCACATGGTTCCACCAACGAAGGCACCAATCGTCCAACGGAGCTCCAACAGCTGCCAGAACACATATCTGAGTAGCCTCCACCGTCTCTTTCTCTCTCCTTCGCAACTTCTTCGCTCACTTTGTGTTTTGGGTGTTGTGGGTTTTGGCTGGTTCTGGGTTCGGTGGTTGTTTTTTGGGTGATTGTGGGTGGTTCGGTGGTAGTTTTTTTGGTGGTGAAAGAGAGATAGACAGAGAGGTGGTGGGTGTTGGTGGTTCTCGGCGTGGGTTGGTGGTGGTGGTGGTGGTGGTGGTTGTTGGGTTGGCGGTGGTTATGGGTGTTGGGTGATAGACAGTGAAAGAGAGAAAGACAGAGAGTTTAAGAGATGTAGGAATTCGAATTTTTGTCCAAACAAATTTTATAATTTTTGTTCTCTAAAACTATTTTCAAAAATATATAATTAAACAGATTTTGTAATCTAAAAATTTTTAAAAACACTTGTTTAAAACTCTTCTCAAAAATAGTTTTCAGATACAATTTTTTAAGATGCAAATCAAACGGATCTTTAGTTTCTCAAGATTTTTTTTTTTTTGAATAAACTTTATTCACACCCCCGATAGTTAGATCTAAATTCAATAACACCTCCTACTTTTTCTCAAATTTCACCGACACCCTTATTAGAGGTTGTCAGCTAACAACGTTAACGGAGATGGCTATTTTACATAAATGCCCTTATGTATATCAGATAGTATATTGAGAAAACTTCATTCACATCCCTTTTGGATAAGCATATCTTCAATGAGACCTCCCTTTATTTTTAAAATTTTTTTGCATAACAAAATTCGATCCGAGATAATTAAAATTTATTTTTTAAGTATTAAAATTTGAATCGATTAAAAATTATAATTTTTTAAGTATTAAAATTTGAGCAAATTGGGTCCAAATTGTTTTAAGAAAAAATTATATTTTTATTTCTTGATTTTATATCAATAAATGACATAATATAACATAAATTTTGATTGTAAAATTTAAAATATTTAATATTCTATCTTTGATTGGATTATTTTTTGTCTAAATATAATATTTTAAATTTGAGGAGTCTAAGTATTACACATTTATAAACTTTAGTGAGATTAAATATAATTTACTAACGGATATTCTAACGGACATTGACAGCAGGAGTCTAAATATTACGTACGCAAACTTTAGGGGAGCTGTCTGTAATATTTTAAATGTCAAGTAGTCTGAGTGTAATTCTCTCTTAATTTACAATTCAAGTGTGTAATTTATATATCTTTTTCTATCATAATAATATTTTTTTGTACTTCAGGTACTAGATTTTTCCATTATATTTTTCAAAAATATAATTTATATAAAAAAATTTATGTACTACAAGTGCACAATTTATGTGCTTTAGTCACCATTTAAATTATAATAAAAATTTACAATCAAACACCCGCGTCATGTTTTCTCATAACATGTATGGTGTTATATTAAATTGATCAATTCAAATACCTGAGTTTACCTTTCGAGTATAAAAAATTACTCGACAATGACTCAGTTGGTTAGCTCTCATGATGATATCGCGTTATAAAACTAATAAATTAATGCATGTAAAAATAACTAATTCAAACAAACAAATTGAGTTAATATAAATAATACTGAAACATAGAGAGAGGATGAAAAATATATATATATACATTATTTAGTCACTTTTATTTCAACAATTTGAGGCCTTTTTATAAGCAAATTTCAATACTATCGGTAGAAAAATGAGAGACAAGTTATTCAACGAAGTAATGTGCGCATCCACACCCACATGCAATCTTTTTCAACAAGAGAAATTTTGAAGTCGGTTCTCATTGTGTACTGGTTTGATAATAAGTCCATCAAAAAAATCTGTTTAATATTAGCAATGCATGATGTGCGCTACATGTCAATAAATTTAAATAATGTTATTTTTATATAAAATGTGAATTATTTGTGTAATTAAATTAAATAATAAATTAGGTTATGAGTAATTAATTTGTATTTAATTATTAATTTATTCTCTAAGTTTTTTAGTACCTAATTTGTCAGTTATTTAGGTATTTCGTCGACCCTTTTAAATATTTGCACATCTATTTGACTGTATATGACTTTACTTCTTTCTATAGATATAGATAATTGTATGTAATTGTACTATTAATAAATGAGTTTAAAAGAATTTAGAAATCCTTACAAAAGAGTCTAAAACAAATTAAAAATAAAATAGGTGTGAAAAACAAAAATGAGATGAAAGTATATAGTGGGTATAATTGACTTTATTATAATAATTAGGGATAAAATAAAAAATTAAATTTTTTTCGCATATGCTGACATTTATAAATAGTATAGATATAGATTAAGTCTATTTTAATCTCCACTGTCTAACACATTCTCTGTAATTATATTTATGTAAAATAAATTTGAAAACTAACAACTTCTAAATTTTAGATATTTGATTAATATTAAAATTCTCCCTCCTATCTATCCACATCCATATATGGATTATGACTATTTCTCTCTCTCTCTCTCTCACACACATATAGTAACATTAAAACAAAAAATAATACTCCCTCCGTTACTAAATATCTGTCGTTTAAGATTTTTACACAAGGATTAAGGAAGCTATTAAATAGCTCTAATATGAGTAAAAAATAATTACACAAGACTAAAATACCATTATTTAATACGTATTGGGAAGGAAAAGAATATAAAAGACACTTAACCTCCACCAAATTTAATGCATTGAAAAGTTAAGTGTAAATTTGGAAGAAAAAATATTAATTATGCTTTGATTTCATTAAACGATAGATATTATGGAACAAAAAAAATTGTGTAAAACGACAGAAATTTAGGAACGGAGGGAGTAGCATTCAAAAACAAGAAAATAATAATATTCAAACAAAAAGTAGTAACATAGCATATTAACATTTGTATCATATTCAATAAGAAAATAGTAATATATTCAACAAGAAAAATAGTTATATGAAAAAATTGTATCATAGAAAAAAATAGTAACATGCGAAAAAAATAGTACTAACATAGAACAAATAATAACATATAAAAGAAATAGTAACATAGTATTACAAGAATTAAAAAAATAATAACATACTTAGGGGCGTTTCTCGAACACCTTTGGGGCATGTTACTCCAAAAACTTGTACCAGACTATGTAATAGTTTGACAGTGCAACAAAGGCATGCAAAGTGTGGAACCGACACAAAAGACTAAACAGAGGGTGAAAATCAAAGGGTTAAGTGGAGAAAAACCGTGGGGATTACGTTGCACATAGGCTATAAGCCATCAAATTGGTTGGCTTGGACAATCTTGCCAGAACTTCTCCTTATCAATGTTGTTCCTGCATGTCTTGCAAGACGGCCTTTCATGGCTTCGAAAGAGTGGTCATTCCCTCAGTCTCTTTCTCTTTGTTACGACTATTTTTCACTCCTCTCTCTATCTATATATATGGGGAAATTTTGGTGGCCGTATCAAACATACACATGAAAAGATATTTAAAGTGATTTTGTTGAGTTCAACTACGAGAAGTGATTCTTCTTATTCGTCCTCCATTGTTTCTGACTAATAATCTTTTTCTTTGGATCATGTTTTTGAATTTTAAATTTTATGGATAAAACGTTGCTCGCAAATATTTGAGCATAATTTAAGGAATAGAATTTATGGAAATAAAATCAAAACATTTTCCTAATTAATAAACATACTTATCATTTAAATACTATTTAAACATTATACAAAGGACATTTTAGAGATTTAAAAAAATAATGAACTTAATTACTTACTAAAAAGATTAAAAACAAGTTTATCCTCAAATAAATTTTCTTGACTGACTAAACTCATTATAAGTCTCTTAAGAGAGACTCTTTCTGCCCTGCACCCAAACCACTTCACACTAAATCTGGCATTCCACGAAACTACAACTATAAATGTTTGATCAAATATGATACTCATTGTGTAATTGATACTTTTTTTTTCCTAATTGACCATTGTTTACATGAAAGCGTGATTCAAGCCCACACCTTTAATGTGAAAAGAAAACACATTTTCAAGTTTCAAATTGCATGTTTTGTAAACACACTTTTACATTAAAAAAAAACCAGATTAAAGCGACAGTTTCTTGTAAATGACATCAAGCTAATAACAGTGCATGATGGAGAACTTGTCGGGATATATATGAATAGAAAACTATTGAGTATCTGTCTAAATATGTGAATAAACAAATTAAAACCATTACAAATAAAAATATTATTCTAACACATTTTTTATGCAATTTGAAATCCCGTACAAAAGGCTTGTGTTGGGGTGTCTTGGTACCTTCCAATACAGCCTGAACTCCAACATATATAAATTTGTTGAATATTTAGAAAGTTGCCAATGCCAAACAAAACGGTATCTATTAATTTCTACCATCCTGAGATTTTACACTTATAGCAACCATGTCATAAATTAGCCCGTCTTAGATGACTCACTCGGGACTTGCAACTGCAAGCTTCTCCTGAGAAAATCAGATAGCTTTGCACTCGCAGCACGTCCTCGTTCTAGACAGAAAAAATACTCATCCACTGAAAACAGATACACACAAACCCAGTTAGACATTTTTGTTATCATAACAAAACAAACATAAACCAGATCAGATGTCAACAGGCCAAACCATCAGATAAGAACAAAGTAACAGCCAACAAGTAAGCACCAAGTATTTCATAAACAAGTTCTTGCCTCAATTGGGTTCCTCCACGAAGAAAAGAATACGAACTATAATTGAAAATGATACCAAATGATCAACGCTTCTATGGTCATTAAACACTATCATCTAGGAAGACCCATTTGATATATAGTTGATAATAATGAGTATAGAAGAAGTTGGGAAGGAGGAGGACTATGTATTTCTACAGAGATACAACTACAGCTATTCCAATCATAATGATCATGGCAATCAATACATTTGCATGTCTCAATAGGAGAATATACCAATTTCTTCACCTCTTTGCTACTAAATCAAAAGTTTCTTCGAGACTGGCCAAATAAATGACGTTACATTTACCACTACATATGAGATTCTATAGTGTTTCGAATAATCAGGAATCTATATTGTTTCTCACCAGAAAAGACGATCCAAATATTTCGTTTTCATACTTCAACTATTTTTTATCCAATTAAGAAATTCCAACAAGCTATACTTGCGAATAGATCAACTAATAGCCATCAAAAGTCCATCTATAGACAGTCATGCTATTTACCTTACTGTCTTTTTCAGATAGTGAGGCCGTAACATATGCTCCAATCAAAGGGGGAAAAAAAACCCAAACCGTATTAAAACAATCAGTATCTCTCATCAATAAATCAATTTAATGCCGACACTATAACATCCTGGCTCAGAACAAATGGATTGAACACCTTTATGCATGTGCATGTCTACTTACACATTGCAGACAACCCCAACTCCCCCTCCCTTCCACAGCCCCGCAGAAAAAGGGGGTAGTAATATTTTACTGAAATTAAAGGCACCCATCTAGGGGCAACAAGTACAATCTTCAACAAACAAATGCACACACTTCGGCACAGATGCAATTAATGAGAGCCATTATCCAGTGCATTCAACCAACTATGCTCCAATCTCCAAAATGAAGAATACCTGAACACTATCATGGCCCGTAATTCAGCATTTCTTATCAATAAATCACTTCCATTTGTTCAGAGAACAGGAACTTGCAGTAAATATAAAACCATTTGATACAAAATACTTCTAGAACAAGAAATCACATAGCTATGTTGTATTGGTGATGGAATACAAATTCCCTATCTATCTAAAGGTTTCCCTAATTGGAGTTGAGCACAACAGTCTTAGTAATTATAAAAACTTCTGCAAGAAGTACATCATCATAATAGGTGGTATGACATGAACATGCACAAGATAAAATAAATGTAAGCATGGCAGTTACCTGACATTAGACCATGTGTAACAGATGTAATTATCCCATGTTCATAAGGCTCTCCTCCCACCTGTAATGCTCCTTCAGGAAGTACAGACTGAATCGAATTTGGAAAAACTAAATATACAAATGCCTTCAATCGCTGCCAATACAAAGAGACAAGCAAGTTAAGAGACCGGTACTTGGAAATGAACAATTTAGATTTGACCCAAATTGAGGATATCAGACATGTAAATAATGGTAGAAACAATTAAACGAATGGTTGTATATTCATGTGTTACCGTGCCATGAACTACAGAATTGACACACAAATAAAAACGACCAATAATCAATTTATACATGCTGCACAAATGCAGCTAGTAACAAGAGAATAAGAAGACTTTTTATTGGATTTTCAAGCTTCCCCTTTTTTACACATAAGACATTTTCACACAAGATATAGTGTCATGTGAAGGGTAAAAATAATGATACGGAATATGGACAGCTATTCTCTTATAACACAAACAAACTGTCACATAAATCATTCTGTACCGGCTTCGATAAGTGCATAATGTGATAACAACCAAAACATTACAATTCAAACCGGGAAATGAAATAACCTGCTCTTCTGTCTTGTTTGGGTCCAGTATAACGCGCCCACTTTCTGCCAGACAACAGCATATTGCAACTAGAAAAATCATCTAAATCAGTGTTAGAAACAATTCCTCAAACAAAATCAGGTCAAAATCAGGTGAGCAACCATAAGGTCTTGTTTACCAGCAAGATGCTTCAAAGGAATTCCAGCATCTACAAGGGCAGCACATGCTGCATTTATGGCACATGGAAGAAGCTAAAGGTCAAGGAAACTTTGTGTATAACAACGTTTCAGAATCAGAGAGAAGATATATCCTCACCTTCATGTAGTAAGGGAGAATTTGGTCATCCCACAAACACATAATCAGACTATTTTGTCACCAATACATTCAGACACAGAAATCTATCTCAGAAAAACGGTGCACACTAAATAGAAGACGATGCATGGGACAGGAAAGTTCACAAGAAAGCCTAAGAATCTCCGTGCAATATACAATGAATCACTTCACATCAATAGAATATCCAAGCACGCTTCGCCATGTCTACTAAGAATCTTAAGGTTAAAATTAAGTTCTAAAAACTGTTACATGTACTTTTCATGATTATCTGAATGCCCCCAAATGCAGGTCTAATGAGAATTTCAATGCGGAAACCAGTTAAGCACAACAGACTACTAGTCTAGTTAAGATAGGGGGAAAAAAGGGATAACTTGAGCAAACATTGCCACTACTGTAGTAAAGGAAGAACTACGATGTTTAAGGATACAGCACCATCATCATTGACAACCTGCAATAGAAACATAGCGACCATGCTTGTCAAGGTAATGCCATTAATGCCAGCTAAACAAATGGTACAAACGAAAGCCTAATGGAGTCCCTGATCTTAATGTTCAATCAGGTGTATACTTGTATATTATACAACCGACAAAAATCCTCCCAATGCCATGGTTTTAGGTTTAGGTCAGGCACACTAATGCAAGATCTATGAGACGGCGTTATAGGAAACTGACACCACCCAAGCTACAATTTATGCACAACTGTTACAACTCACCTAAGTCATGCCCTAGTTCTAAGACAAACAAACATTCCTAAAAAGGAGATGTGATGTAACACTTCCAGGGCATTCCTAAATATGTGCCCAACATTCCTACATAATTTCAAAGACATGATCAAAAAAGGTCATTTACCAAATTGACAAAGACTCGCTAGAATTGTAAGAGTGGGTCAGAGATTTGATGTCCTGAAAAAATTGTTACTTCGCAAGCACACATGATTAAAATTTAGAGTTTCAGAAATTTCAAGTTCGCAGAGTCAACTTCTCTGCATGCGGACTGTTTCCAAACCCAGCAATGGTGAGAGTCTTGTATCATGGGCTACCCTTTATGATCTCCAAAATTTCAAGCATTAGTGAGGGGGAAAAAGAGAAGAGGAGAGAAAGATGGGGAGATCACTTTGGTGTTCTTTTCATAATTATCATATAAACTGGGCGGCTGTTAGGGTTGATAAAGACCTTCAAAACCAACATCCGTATGTAGTTGGAATTACATTTTCCACATAATCAAACAGCCTCACCTGAATTATGATTGAGGTCGTGGTATTTGGATGGACAGTCAAAAGACACATGTTTTGTAAAGTCCTCTTCAGTACCATCTCATACTCCTTTTCCTCTTTACCTGAACTCCACAGAGTTGGCAAATATGAGAATCAATTAAGCTACATTTTAAATAGGCTGCCTTTAGTCTTCCTAAAACCAGCATTACTATAATAAACTCAATCTGCATACAAAGGGCAGTGAACAGACTCCATTTTGAGTAAACTGGAGAAGCTAAAAGATACATCAAACAGTGGAACTTCGACAATTCATATGCCAAAAAAGGGATGCTGAACACTAAATTTCCAACCACGCATGCCAATTAATTTTGGTGGTGAGAAATGACTCCCCTGTGTGACCAGTTAATAATTTTTTTCGAAATAGAGTGTTTATATTATCATAAAGAGCTAAGGTTAATCTATCTGATTCTTGTGATCCAGTTAAGGGACATTTTCAAAGCCCTCACTTTACAAATTTTAGGGTCGACCTAGAATCAGTATACTGATTTGATAAAAAGAAATTAGACAGAAGGAAAAAAATCTACCAATCTGCCCTGTTTTGGGCTTCCAAATGACTTCAATGCAAGCCTTTTCAGGGTTTTCATTCTTCTTTGTTCCAGCTTTTGGTCCATACACTGCAGCAAGAACTTTAGTCTCCCCTAAAACCAAGGACAACAACTTCATAATTAAAATAAAACCCCATGCGAAAGAGTGAAAATTCCCAAGTAACAATAAACTAACAATGCCTAACAAACATGCATAATGTTTTCCTTTTCCAAAATAAAGTAAAATAAGACCAAGAAAAAAAAGGGCCACAAACTCTACTCAGGTTAAACGATAATTGGTCGAAAACCCAAAACCATATGCAAATTGTTCAAAATGACCCCAATAGAGACCAGATAACCCAAAAGATGACCAACCCAATACAGAAAATAACTAAATTTACATACCCAAGTAATAATCATAAAATTTCAAGTTATAAAAAAAATGAGGGGAGAAAAAGAACAAAAGGAAAGTACCACCTTGAGACCAACTAGCAGAGCCATGGGCACGGTTGAGAATGTTCCGAGAACAAGCTAGTTTTCTCAACTGGTTTGGAGTCCGCCCATCCGCTCTATCAATTTCCATCCTCTGAACGAGCATACAGCCCCCAACTGCTGAAAAAAAAAATGTGGTTGAGGTTTGAACATCAAAACCTTCAGTTACATGCGAAAAGCTAGAAGCTGAGAGAAAAGAGTAAAACTGTACATTTATTTTACAACTATGGTTTACAAAAATATAGAGTTCTGAATGGTCAGTGAAAACTAAAAAGTGGGAGAAAAACCAGATCTAAAAAGTCGTAAAGGAGAGACGATTAGAGGAAATCCGGGGTTGCTCCTTCGAGAGAGAGAGAGAGAGAGAGAGACGGAGGGGCTAGACTGTGGGTGTGTGTGTGTGAGAATAGCCCCAAGTCCAAGGTCAAGTGCTTAATCAGAGAAAGAAAACATTTATCTATGCTACTAAAATATCGGAATACTTGAAAAACATTTTTTTTCCACCTTTGCCCTCCAACAACACAATTATGCCACTCATGTCTTTCAGATTTAATAGCAGCCTAGCCCTAATCAACACCTCCCTTCCTTCCCAGTTCCCAACCGTCCCTATGTCTCTCCCTATTCTTCAGTCGTTTCTCTTTTTCTCTCTCGCGCGCTTAAAACGCACATGCATTGCTATTCCCAGCCATCAGTCCACCTCTTTCTTTATACCAGTTCATTATCTTTAGACTTATCAACTCCCACATCCTCTTCCATTTCTCTACTATTTTAGTGATGCCTGAGAAATCAGAGTAAAGCGATGGATGACTCATCAATGGCCAAAGCATTCTATCGCCCCTCGAAAGTCAGGTACGGCATATTATTCCATCAATTTTTACATATTGTTGTAAATATGATGAGCATCTTTGTACTTTGGCGGCATTGATAATAATTGGGTGGTCTAGTTAATGTTTGAACATACACTAGAGATTTTGAATTTTGTCTCTTCTCCATGGGCCGATTTATTTGATGTTTTGTATTTCAGAATACTCGAAGGACTCGGAGATGGAAAGTCCTTTGACTTAATTTTATTTTCTAAAACAAAAAGCTGCAATACACCTCGTAGCAAGATTGGTATGTGTATTTAATTTGTGCGATATCGGCCATATGTTTGGCAGTAGGTTCACATTTCAACTTCATATGTTTTTCATGTTTTGTTGTTTCTAACTTTGTTGTTCTTGCAAGGTGATATTGATAGTATCTGTTGATATATCATTTGTTTGGTTGCTTTTCATAAAAAGGACTCTGCCATCAATTACGTTCCCAAATTGAGATCTTACCACCACTGCAATTCTTATATTACTCATCATTGGCTCAAAAGAAACATCAAAATTAAACTTGATACTGGTACTAGGGCCAAGGAGGCAAATGGAAGGTTTGACATCACAACAAAGAAAGATGCAAGGCTAGCAACCAATGTTCCCTACCAAACTCCTTGTTGTAAAGTTACAAATAGCTTACTACTACAACTCTGGCATGGTCCTGTTTTTTGGCCATCAAGGATATCAATCCTACTGAAACATGTTGGGAATTGGAATATGCAGAGGGATTTAATGTATAGCTAAAGGGAGAGGGAGACCAAACAACATCTGCCCAAGTTGTGTTGGAATACATTGGCCCTTTAAATCCTATTCTCATGTCTTTTAGACCTGATACTTTGATAGTGGTCAGTAATAAAATAACAACCCTTAATAATGTCTTTTTGAAATTTATATTTACAACTGATTGGGGCTCTTATTTGCACAATATTTGGTTCGTATGCAAAAAGTTCCTTATGCTTGTGTTGTAAGAATTTTTTTCTCCTTTTGGAAGTTCTGTTTTCTGATATAGTTTGGATGGTTTTTACAGGTTGCTTTCAAGATGGATGTTTTTCACCCTAATATTAACAGCAATGGAAGCATTTGCCTTGATATTTTGAAGGAGCAGTGGAGCCCTGCCCTCACTATTTCCAAGGTGATGGTTATATTTGGTATTTCAACTACTACAAAATATTTCTTACAAGTGGAATTACATTTGGAAAATGGAAAATAAATAACTTGAATTTTTTGCTTCCATATTGAATTTTTGTATTTGTTGAAACTTGCTTTGGATTTGAGTGCCCCAACAACAAAACTCATGCTTGAAAGAATCGTCACTGGTCCTTGGGCAAACTGTTTCTCTACCACATTAATGATTTAGATAAGAAGTTATCCCTTTGCAAGTGGTTCCTGAGGTACTTAAGCAGCTCCATTTCTTTCTAGACTAAGACTGGTTGTTATATTTGATATTTTTTTTTAATTTTCTTTCATTGAACTTACATTATTTAATGTGTGTCTCATGTATTTTGCACTGATAGTTCTCAACTTATGAAGCTAGTTAGATCTTAATTTTTAATAGTTCATTGGCTTTTCCTACACTCCGTTAATGTAGAAACTTCGAGAAGCAGCTGAAGATCATGGTAAACATGGTTCCATGGGTTTAAATTTGGCAAATAGTACTACATACTCGGAATTGACACTTGTTGCTCTAAGCTCTAACGTGATCATGCCAGTTGCTAGCAAACTGTTATTGTACTATATTATGGTATTTTTCCTATATGTTTCTGGTCTTATATCTTTTGAATCATGTTTTTTTTATTTCCATGAATATTTGTCTTGAGTAGTTCCATGTTGAAAACAATATGTATGTAATCTTAACATAGTTCCATGTAATTTGACTACTGGACCTTTGGAAAATTATGAAAATCATGGTAGCAATATGAGAAATTTTATAGTGCCTTCATATTAACGAGAAATTGACCGTATAAATCTATAAGTTGCAATTGCATACCTACTTTTGCACTATAGAGGCATTGCATTCATCATAACTCTTAACTTGGGAACAAGAAACATTCGTGGAAAACTTTTGTTTCTCGCTCCATATATCAAATGATGAGCATTTTATGGGCTAACGAACTTGATTTTTACCCCTACCAACATTCCTTATTAGTTGACAAGAAAACTTTTTTTTCCCCTTCTTTTTTGATTTCATTTTACTTCTGTGTGAGCCGGATTTGTTTTGCCTCTGTTTAATGGCTTTACATACGTTAAGGAGCAGGATATTGCTACTATTTTGGTAATAAACCTGCAACATGGCAAGGTTTAAATTGTCATACTACAAACTTCTATAAAGCAATGAATATTTTTGAACTCATATTTTTGTATTTTATAGTTTTCTTTAATTTTGTGGGTTAATACATTAACTTTATGAGAGGATGGGTGCCTTTTTGGTTTTAAATTAGTTTCTTCCAATGTTTTGTATACCCATAACTTACAATGGGTTATGAGATTTTGTTGCTAAAATTCAGATTCCTTTGTTGTTAAGGATGCTATAGTTCACCAAATGATGTTCCTATTAATTCTTATGATTCCCTCATATTATGCTTCCACATCTAATCTGACCTGATTTTCGTGTAATTAAATCCATAATTCGTTGTTTGGAATACCTTGAGTTCTTACAGAACCACTCTATGTTTTTCTGTTTTCATAAACAATTCTTTTTTCAGGAAAAATTATTGATGCTTCCCTAAAATTTTTGAGGGCCAAGGTAGCAGACTTCTACACCTGGCTTCCAAATCTGTAAAGGTGATCATGGGATTTGCAATTTATTCTTGGTGTAGATTATGGGGCAAAATCAGCATTAGATTAGCAACAAATAAGGCAGCTTGCGATAAGCCATTCATATGGTTAGTGTAGTTGTTGCATTCTTCGATTTTGAGTCACATGTGAGCCTCAAATATTTTCTATAGAAGGATGTAGGATCAAAATTTTCTGTCTTATAGGGGCTGCCCTGATGTATGGATATGAAAGATTTTTTTGAACCCAAAGCTCTAATGATTGTATTTCAATGTCAACTTTTGCTTGCATTTTTATGTTATTTATCACAAAGCTATTTCATATCATGGAACTATGCATTTCTATTTTTCTTTTCTTGTTGCTGTGGATGATAGCATATATATTTTTGTTTGTTCTTTCTAAGTTGACATCTAAAAGGTATATAATTATCGAAGTTCGGATTGGAGTTGATCATCTCTCTCTAGGTTTTCACTTTTCACAGATGAACCATTTTGAGTATATCCATGACAAAAATTCTTGCCAGTTTGTTCTAATTCAATTTCTTTTGAATACAGCTAACAACTAGAGTTGCCCTGGCATCATGGTAATAACACTTCAATAAGTTTTAGTAGAGCTTTCTTTAACGGCAAGCACTGTTTCCCTATTGAAGTGCTTCATAGGTAGAGTCATTGTAGTTGCTATTGATGTGAGTAAGCTTCAAAAACTTCAAGTGAAGTTGAATAACCCATTGCTTGGACTCTTTGGTAAGTAGGATACTTATTTTCGTTAAGTCAATCAGCTCCTTGTTGTATTTTACTTAATATTAAATTGAGTACCTAATTATTGATATAAATCAATAATTAGCATGTAATTGCTGGTGTCGCTTCATAACCCACTTCATCAAAACAGTAAACCTGCACCACGTCTCTCTCTCTCTCCCCCCCCACTGTTTTTGGCCTGATCAACTCCCAAATCTCTCTCTACTATGGCAGTGGTTACGAGCCTTTGATGTCGACTCTGACCCTCACGCACTGCTGATGCATCCGATTGCTTAAAATTCAGGTAAAACTTATACTTTTAAAAATTTTAGGGTGCTTGGTTGATTGTACATCCAATCTTCTTTTATGTTCTCAACTTAGTCAAACTGAACATTGTTTTTCATATTCTCAAAACAATGAACTTTCTACGGTATTAGGTTTATTTAGGTATAATGTAGTTCGGGTTTTGACTGTTATGGTGTCATATATCAGATTCTTTTGTGTTGAATTTTGGTGACATAAGACAATTTTTACTGGATATTTTTATAATCTGATGATGATCAATGTGTGTTCCATTTTTTCACATTTTGTACCATAAGTTTTCACCATTGTTATCAATTCTCTTTAGTATGCTTTCATGGTGGTCGAGTAATTTTGGAGACAAATTGTCGGTATTTCAATCTCGACATACAATTCATATATATAGCCACAACATATTTTCCTTTATTTGTTGCCGCTTATTTGAGTTTGTTTAATTCTAGTTGATTTTGAAAATGTTCATATCTGGGGTTGTTAGAGCCATTCATTTTACCACTTGCTTATTTTATTATCCATATTGCATTTTTTTTGGGTTCAATTGTATAAATAAGATGTATGAATGTTGCTTGGATCTTATGGGTTGTGAATTCAATAATGGTTCGAGGTATTTATTGGTTTAGGTTCACCACACGAAATGGTTTCAACTTGTTAATGGAAAAATGGATTCAATTTGTTAATTTTTTAGGAAAGACATGTATGTCTCAGTTCGATATTTGAAATTAAGCCACCT